ATTTTTTATCCAAATTTTTTTCAGATTTTTTTATATTATCCAAACCTTTTAAAATTCTATTAGTTATCCAAATCTTTCGTAATGCATCAAAATATTAGCAATTTTTATGAAATCGTTAATAATTTTATAACTTTTTTCTTAGTTAAAATACTAAAATTTTGGAATGTTAACCTTCATGAGTCTCTTTCAAGTCAGTATCATGTTACTAAGTCAATATCACTAACAAAATTGCTAACTGGAAGTTAACAATTGGCATGGTTGTCACGTCGGCCGGCGTGCCACCGGTTATACCGGGTTCAACCGATACCGGTCATAAAACCGGCGTGACACCACCTGTATGACCGGCATGATCGATATACGAATCTCTAAGTAAAATGACTTTAATTTAGAGAATTTAATTGATAAAAATTATTTTATTATTTATTTTATGAGTATAAAAGTTAAATATTGATGTTATTTGTTGGATTCAAGTATAAATGTTTAAGTATTGACGTTAAATGTCATGTTTAAATATGAGTATTTATAATTTTATCTGTAATATTGACCGGCATGAACCGGCACAAACCGGTATGTGCCACCGGTTGAACCATTTCACTTACTAAACTGGCACACTGGCATAAACCGGTTTGACAACCTTGACAATTGGTTAATTATTAGTATTTCGATAAGTTTGGATAATATAAAAAAATTTGAATAAAAAATAGACGTTGCCCTAATAAATTCAAATGGTTCTTTCACCAAAATCATTCAAAAACAATTTTGTTGTCAAACTGAAAATCCAAAAGAGAAAAGAATATCAGCTGGTGCTTATAAAACTGTTTGCATATATACGACAGAATCTGCATTATTGCAAAGGAAAAGGGTTAAATTTGTCTCCACACTCCTATCTCGTACGTACTCTGGTTTCTTAACTAGCTAGCTTGTCCTGCTCTTTCTGCTTCAAATCTGGCTTCTCTTTTTGTTTTTTTTTTTTTTTCTGTTTCTGGGGATTCGAGCGTACGTCTTTTCCCCCAGAAAGCGGTTGTTTGGTTTCTTGTCTCGATCTAGCTCGCTCGTCCATATCTCGAAAAGCTTCCTTCTTCTCCTCTCGGTCGTTAACGTGGGAAAGTGAAGTTCGGAGCTAGTTAACTTTATCGCTGAAACCAAGTATACCCGCCGCCGACGTACGTGAGATCTATATATCCATCCAGCTTGCTCCGACGCCGGTGCTTTTTAGATATGCCCATAAAAATGTTTTGTTATATATAAGATTTCCACATATCTTAGATTTTCTCAGTCAACCCTAGCCAGACCACTCCATATATATTCAGTTCTTTCTTTTTCTGAATCAATCACACATACAACACTAATAATCATCATCTCTTTTCCCCCCTCATTCCATTCCAGACTTGCAGTGCTAGTTGAAGCTAGCAACAGTACAACTTATATAATATTCTACGCAAAGGAGGATGAACAGCAGCAGTAGTAGTAGTAGTACGTTTTGCGCAGTTCCTCCAGGGTTCCGATTCCATCCGACCGACGAAGAGCTGGTGGACTACTACCTCAGGAAGAAAGTCAACTGCCGGAGGATCGACCTTGACGTCATCAGAGACGTCGATCTTTACAAGATCGAGCCATGGGACCTTCAAGGTAACGTACAAAACTTTTAAACCCACCTTTTGACCTCGATCGTGTTTTTTTTACCGGCCTTCTCACGGTGCATATATATGCATAAAATATACTGCACATTCATGCAGGGAGTGAAGAGCAGAGCGAGTGGTATTTCTTCAGCCACAAGGACAAGAAGTACCCGACGGGGACGAGGACCAACAGGGCGACGAACGCAGGGTTCTGGAAGGCGACGGGGAGGGACAAGGCGATCTACACGAAGAACGAGCTGATCGGGATGCGGAAGACCCTTGTTTTCTACAAGGGTCGTGCTCCGAACGGACAGAAGTCGGACTGGATCATGCACGAGTACCGACTCGAGACCGACGAGAACCCCGTTCTCCAGGCAAGTGCCACTAAGGTTTTTTGTTTTTTGTTTTGCTTTTGGTATTATGGATTTAACTTCAAAGATTTTAAATTTCTAAAATCTAAAGATATCAAATCTCACATAATTCAAGAGATTCCATAGCGTGATTTTTAAGATTTTTTCTTTTACTTTTTTTTTCTTCTCTTTTTTTTTTTTCGTTTTCCTTATCCCGCTAAATATCCTTATCAATAAATTCTCAAAAAATTTCGAGTCATACGAATTCTTTTTCATTAAGGGTAAATATGTATATTTGGTTGGGGTGGCCACTTTGATGTCTTGGTTGTGTTATTTCTTTTTTTGTCTACTAATTAATGAAAACAAACATCATTCTCATAAAAAAAGTAAACAAGTCATCTAATAAAAACTTAGAATTTTTGTTTCCATTGAATGATACAAGCACGGAACCGGTGCATCTAGTTATCAAAGTCGCACAGCCAAGAACAAGGGTTATATTTAGGGATAAAATGGAATTAAAGTGTAATCGCACACCTAGGAGAAGGCTATATTAGTATAGGGTAGAAGCTCGACCACAATCAAATGGAATACTCGATTGATACAAAGCACAATTCACAAACTAAAAACTTGATGAACTAGGGTACGTAAAATTCAACTGATGAAAACTCATCTCTCTGTAACGATTCAGCCAAGCCTTTAAAATAGAATAACAAAGCCTAATTCTACTACTCTACTAACAAGGAAAAAAACAAAACTAATTAAAATACTGAAAAGGGAAAAGAATCATAAACACAAAAGGAAACTAAACTTGACAGCTATTCCCCGGTCTATCCTTCTATTCCACGATCGGGGAATTGACGTCCTTGGCCAGGGAACTTCTTCTGTTCCAATTGTCGGTCTTATGGTTATGTTTCCCGATCAGGAATTGGATGGCCTGATCGAGGATTTTCCTAATCACCATACAATCTTCAGACTGATCGTTTGGTGTCAAGGAAGCTTCAATCTTCTCATCCAATATCTTTACGATCTTCAACAAGACTTGTACTCACACATCCAGGGATTTTCCTTATCACCGTACGATCTTCAGAATGCTCGTTTAGTGTCCAGGAAGCTTCAATCTTCTCATCCAACGCCTTTACGATCTTCAGCAAGACTTGTACTCACACCTCCAACTCCCAGCTTCCCCCGAATGGCTCCCAATATGAACGAGTAAGTGTCCATAGTATGTACCTTGAAGTTGTTTCCGAACTCAGCCAATCTTAATACTTCCTTCTTCCTTGATTTTAGCACTACTTGGAATGCTTGGAAATTGACTCTCTTGATGGCAAGCGTGCTTACATCATTAAATATTAACAATCGTAGTTACCAAACAATGATATAATTTTAAATCAGTTTTCAATAATCTGAAGAGTTAGAATATTGAAATTGTTTACAATTTAGATATTAGACTCCAACCCTAAAACTAAAATTTCCCAAATTATTAGAATTAGGCATCGTTCGGTTACCAGCAAACTAGTTTCTAGTTCGCGGCCTTTGGGAGCGATCCATCTTGCCCACTACTGTAACAATCTAACTATATAGCACCATGAAGCTTGTTCGCTGTTGTGAGAAATGAATTATATAGAAATGGAACTTGTTCGCTATTTTGAAGAGCGAACTATAATGTAGTTCACTGCACTTTGTACGGATTTGCCTTGATCGCTTCAATCAGTCGCAATCATTGCTCGAACCCTACTGCTTAAAATTACAAGTCAAACAATTACCTACAACTGAGAGCTGGAAATAAATTTTAATGTGTCACAATATAAATTAAAACACAATAAAAACCTACTTATTCATTACAACATTAACACATAAACATACACTTTCATCTCTAGTTCCACGACAGTTGCGTCGGTCATGCCCTTTAACTCCACGTGCGGAGCACCGCTCGGAACTCATTGTGGTCTCCTCGGTCTATCCGTCTCATTTCAAATCATGTGCACTCTAGGTTGATCTTTGGTACGCTTCCTTTGCTCAAGTGGGAATACCTCTGGTCCATGGTACTCAGACCAATAAGCTTCATGAACTAAAGGCTTGAATGAGTTATATCCCAAACCTTTGTACGATACACATATGAACTTTTGACTGCAATTACTTTTGAAGTGTCGTATGCACCATTGTCAGTTCCACGCAAGCTCCTTAGGAAAATCTTGCACTGCATGTGCAATCCCATGGGGTTTTTTTTTTTTGGGTGAAAAATGTGCAATCCCATGGTGACTATCAAAAAGTAGGCGAATGCCCCTCGTTGAGTTACATGCGTGTACAGTAGACGGGAAAAAACAATATGCAACAAGTATGTGAAAGGCCTTGTCCCGTTAATATGCTATCGCCTAATAGTACTGCGCTCTCCATCTTCATAATCAATACTATTCTGAAATGTTTTCATTCGACCATGCCCGGAATTACTAGGCCAATTTTAAGAAAATTCCTTCTCATTTTTTTCATATTTAAAATAGCATATATTACATACAAGTCATTAAACACACAATCTAACGACCAAGATTTTCAAACCCTAATCTAGCATTCGATCTACATTCAACATCTAATATAACCTATAACATAACCACCATACACAAAATAGAATTAGTGACCAACAAAACATACCTTATGATGGGAAAAGAGAATTGTCAACTTATGTTCCTTTGTCATTTTTGTTTTTTGAATAAGGAAGAGATGAATGAAGAATGTAAAATGGGAAATGCGAGGTGGGTGGGGGCTAGCAAACAACGCCAAAACTCTAGTAGTTTGAGAAAATTTAGTATATGTATTGTGAATGTTTTTTTTAGCAAGAGTTGTGTTTGGGGAAAATCAATGATTGACACTAGTAACTTAACTCTAATAAAATATGCAAATGTAGAGTCATCCGAAGCTTTTGTTTTTATAAGGAAAGTCATTCGGAGCTTACTGGTTAATTTTGTACGTTGTACGTATATGGAAATTATACAGGACGAAGGGTGGGTTGTTTGTCGGGTGTTCAAGAAGAAGATAACAACAGTGAGAAAGAAAAGTGACCACGACCCATCAGCTTGCTTGTACGACGACCAAGTCTCACCATTCATGCACACATTGCAACCTGCACCGTCACTAGATCACCGTCACCACCAAAGCTGGAGGTCAATCTTTGAGATGGACGGCGGTGATCGTCTTCATCGGCAGCAGCAGCAGCAAGCGGGAGCAGTGGACTCAGTGATGGATTGGAGAGTGCTTGATAAGTTTGTCGCTTCCCAACTCAGCCTGCATGATGATCATTATCAACTACATGCATGTATGCAGTAGCAAGAATTTAAATTAAGTGGGGTTCGATTTACGAATAAATTTTAATACCATAGTAATCAATTTGTAAGTACATTCCCTTTCCATATACTGAATTGCATATTCATTCATCAAATCATTGATTATTCAGTTGTGCAACTTATTTAGACGTCTTTCAAGGCTTTTTCTAATGAATGAAAGTAGGTCGATTGTAGAAGGAAAAAAGTTGCACAAGTTATTTACCATGTAATTCATAATTGAAAAGCGATCTTCCTATAATTAAAAATATGTATTTATTTTCATTAGCATATATAAGTTAATAATATTAAAATTGTAGATGTTTAAAAAATCATACCTAAATTGAACAAATATGTATATATATATATATATATGTGTGTGATAGAATGAAAAAAAAATTGCTTAGAAATTAGAATACCAATGGTTTTTTTTTTTTTTTGTTATGTTCCGTTGTTGATTTAAATTTATTAATTTGATTTTTATCACGGAGATAATTGAAGTTCTAGTTTTAGCAGTGGAAGGGAAAGGGAAAGGGAAAGGGAAGCATGGTAAGAAAGAGTCAGGAAGGCCTCCAAATATAAAAAAAAAAAAAATGAACGATGATTGTCCTTACTTGGAATATTAGGGGATTTAATCACTCCGACAAGTAGGATTGGATAATGAACATGGTAAGAATATATAAAGTGGATGTGTTTGTAGTAATAGAAGCTAGAGTAAAAAAATTTAATTTATACTGCTATGTTGAAGTTAAAATTTGAGTACTCGAAGTTCGAAGAAAATTATGAATGCTTTGCATTGGGTCCTATTTTGTTTCTTTGGAAGAAGGCCCTTGATTTTATTGTATTGGGTAAAGAAATTCAGTTCATCCATGGTGAGGTAAGAGGTCTGAAGAACCTTGCAAGATTACCTTTCTGTATGTGACCAATGTTATGGGTTGAGAGAGGAGATGTATCTACATTTCTCCCTTTGCAGTATATGATGAGCCATGGATAATACTTGGAGACTTCAATGGTATTAGAAGTAAGGAGGAAACTTCAAATAACTCTAGTTACATGAAGTGTTTTAATACATGGATTGATAACATGGAACTAATAGACAACAAGTTTGAAAGAGTCTTGGTATAGTTGAACCAATATTAGGCAACAATGTTCTCCAACTGCTAGAAGGATTGATAATGTTCTAGTAACTAGTAGTTATATAACCTCTTACAACAAATACAGCAAATACACAGACTCTCACTTGAAAAGTTTACCAAACTCATCATCACTCTGGGCCAGCTGGATTTGACACTATCAACTAAATTCTTCACAATATGGGATATTCCAGACTCGCTTGCTTGTTCATGGGCATGGGAAAAAAATTTGAAAGCTAGAAATCTTGTTGTTACACATCTACAAGTATGAGCTAGGAATGTATATTGGAAAGACTTGCTCATGAAAAAGTACTTAGTGAAGAAGGTTTTGGAAGAAATCATATCTAAGAAGCAACAGATGAAATGGCCTGCTATAGTATGTATGTCATATATTCTTCCCTGGGACAAAGTCTTGGCTTGGAAAAGTACATATGAACAGAACACATACTTTACACAAAGTTAAAAAGTGGAACCCAAATGCTAGTGATTTTAGGGGTGGCAGTTCAGTTATTTCGATTATAACCGATCGGTCGGTTATTGGTTAACCAAAATAACCACTCCCTCTACTGAAATAGGTTTCAATTTCTCGGTTATCTCGGTTCAGGGGCGGAGCTACGTTGGGACTCGGGGGGCCCCGGCCCCCCCGAGAATTTTGAAGATCGTGTTAAAATACGACGAGAATTTGAAGTTACGTATTAATTCAGATACATTTATATATACTTTTATTGTGCAGTTTGATTGTTGAACTGGTTACTTTAGTCTAGCGGATAAGTGGTCTTTTGTTATATAGGAGGTTGTGGGTTCAATACCCAACAACATTACTTTTTTACTACTACTACTTGTCTTTTAAGTTGATTTTCCATACTTTGATTTCATACGTAATTTAAGTTCAAACTAGGTAAATTTAATTGAACTTATACATTTACATCTTCAAACATAATTTTAAATATATAGCAAATAATTCAATTATTTTCCCATTGTCTATAGACATTCATTTGTTACTTATCATAAATTGAAGAACATGGTGCATTATTTTTTGTTGAAATTTATTTAATAATTTTGAACATGTCGTTGATAAATTTTTTCAATTTAAATCATACTTTTAGTGCTTATAATGATCTTTAATAACATTTTGTGGGGTGACATTTATATTTTTTTTTTTTACGATAGTAAAATTTTCGGCCCCCCCGAACTTAAAATCCTAGCTCCGCCCCTGTCTCGGTTATCGGTTAACCGAACCACTTTTTTGTGTCCATTGTCTGTTATCATAAATGTATTGTCAAATTATTGTTTGATTGGTGCGAGGTCAGAGGATTATGTTGAAAAGGTTGTGTTGCAATCCTAGTTTTCTTCTTCACTTGGGATTATGGATAGAACTTTACGATTTACAGTTGTTAGTGAACTTTGGAAGGAAAGATGGCCAATGCCCTATGCTCGCCAAAGTATTTTGTGAGAAACATAATTATCGGAAGTCTATTTGTTATTTTGCGTATTATTCGGATATTGGGCTAGGGTGGAAATTATGAGGGTTTATTCGGTTAGGTTAATTATTCGGATAGTAAACAGGAATTAGTCAGTTTATATATATACTATGTTATGTTAGGTCAAGGGCAAGCAATAATACAGAATTGTTCCCAACTCTCTCTCTCACCTCTCACATTGGCCGAACCCCCTCCCCTCTCCTCACCGTCAGCGGCTTCCCATCCCGGGAACCCAACTCTGCCTTCTCTCTCATCCAATTCCCCAATTCTTTCTCACCTAAATTCTCAATCCCTAATTCGTTCAATCCCTAAATCGCACGCCTAGATCCGTGGTTCTCACAGTGGTATCAGAGCCTGGCTGGCGTGTTGATTATTGAACCCTGCAAAAGTTGAGGATGTCGAACGTGGACAAGCCGCAGCAGCATAAGCAGGGTAAGGAGATCGTGACCGTGAAGGACATAACGACGAACAAGTATGACACGATCGTCACGACGCTGGAAAGCCTAACGGAGTCCACGGAAAGGGCAGTTGTTGCCTCGCGGGACTCAACCGGGGCCCTGGAGGCGGTGGGAGGGCGGATCACCACCTCGATTGAGAAGATGGGCAAAACCGTGACGGAAAAGCTGTGCCAGGCCCTAGCAGACACAATGAAGGAGGTCTTGATCGGTGTTATGCAAGGTCGTGAGCCAAATCCCGAGAACCGCCCCGCGACGGTGAAGATGATGGCGGAGGCTGTGTTCTGGGCGGTCGCGAAGCCGGAGACCAGCCCGCCAGGAGCTGCGGCGGGCGTGGGCGACGGAGCAGCGGCGGGCGCATGTGGCGGCGAGGAGGGAGGCTCGGCTGGAGCATCGGCGGTGGCGGCGACCGGCGCCTCGGCAATGGCAGCGGCAGCGGCGAGGCCGCAGGGGGCGGCAACCGGTAGGGGAGCCGCGGCGCCGGGAAACGTGGCTGGCAGTGGAGCTAGGGCGGCGGCTACGAGGCCGGCGGGACGAGGAGGCAGCCAATTCTTTGGGTCGAGGGCGGCCGGGGGAGCGAGCAGAGGAGAACCGGCCGCGCCATCCTTCAGTGGGCCGGGCCTGCTTCCTGCTCCAACGGCCCAAGAGATTGCGGAGGCCCGCGGGAAAAAGAAGGTGGTCGAGTTTGAAGAATTGGGCCCGGATTAATGAGGAGATGAGTTTCGCGGACCAGGAAGAGTGGGAGATGGACCCTGGGCCCGATGGGCCCGACCAGGATTGGGTGGCTGACCCAATGATGGACCAAACCGGTCTGCCGGTTGGGTCAGTGGCCGGTCGGACCAACTCCGGGCGAATCAGAATCGTTCGAACCAAGATTGGTAGAACCGAACCGGGTCGAACTGAACCGAGCCGGGGCAGCGGCTGGAATGGGTCTGGTGCCGAGCCCGGGCGAGAGAGGCCAGGTCCCGAGCCAAGCTACCCGCTGTGGGGCACTCCACGAGCAGATTACGGGCGACGGGGGCCCAGGATGGAAGAGGGACAAGGATCCGGAACCAAGCTTGGCGGCGAGGAAGAATATCAGCATGAGATGGCCGACTGGGCCTATTCGGAGAGGCAGAACGCGGACTCCGAGTACCGGCACTACGGGTCGGGTCGGCCGATGCAACCGTCAGGTGGTAACAGATACGGATATAACAACCCTCTGTATGACTATGAGGATGAGCTGGTGTTCAGAGCTAAACCTCCGATTATTGAGTTTCCGAAATTTGATGGCACTGGTGATGTCGGATTATGGCTGTATGCGGCGGAGAGGTGGTTTAGGAACCACCTGATCAGGGCAGAAAGGAAGGCGCATCTGGCGTCCTTCTATTTGGAAGGGGATGCCCTCTAGTGGTGGGAATGGACTGAGCGAGCATATGCGGCAGTAGGCGAAAGCATCTCTTGGGCTCGGTTTCAGGATGAGCTCCGGTACCAGTTCGGCAGGGCAGAGGGATGGGCACCGGAGCAGCTGGCCAAACTGAAGTAGACAGGGTCAGTGGCAGAGTATCGGGCAGAGTTCTTGAAACTGGGGAATCAATGCAAGAAGATGATCAAGGAGACACTGGTGGGGCTGTGCATGGCCGGACTGCGGCCTGAGCTGGCCACCGCAGTCAAGGTCTTTGAATCTGAATCTCTTCGTGTGGCTTTTAGACTTGCAGGAAGGAAGGAGGAGGAGCTAGCCAGTTGGAGATCCTCCGTTGGCAGGATGCAGAAGGCCAGTAGCGGAATAGGTGGCGACACGGGTGCTGGGGCGGTGACACCGGCGGTTGCGTCGAGTCCACCCGCCGCAGGGACCACAGTCGGGGCCCGATTTCCGGCCAAAGCACCGCCGCGCGGGTTCGTAAGGCTGACTCAGGCAGAGATGGATCAGAAGCGCCGGGATGGGCGTTGCTTCAACTG